CATGTAGTACATGTGTACATGTATTTCTAATGCTGCACTTTCTCAGGTATAGTCGTAAAAGGGAGCTACTCCACATCATATGAGATTGTTATGTTCAATAATTTTATAAATGGCATAATGATGATCACATGTACAGCACATGAAATGTATCATTTTGTGTCGTTCAAGTTCTCTTTATTTTTATATCAATGAATCGTGCAATCTTCCTTAGTTATATCATGCAATTTCTTTGTTAATTAACCGAATTAAAATATTAAATACAATGTAAGAGTTCATGGTAGTTAGTCCCTCATTCACATACGTGTATATATATGTATAACCTCAGAAATAATGTTTCCATTCCTATATTTTCCCCTTCTTATTTCTTCCTTCCACTTCCTCTCTCTTCCTTCCTGTTTCTTCTATCACTAGCTTCTGGCCCTCTCTTTCTCTTTCATCATTAGATTACTATGAGTGGAACTTATCAGGAGATTACAATTCTATAGGTAGTCTATATGTACCACTAATCTGCTCATCATGTTTCAACAAAAATGGACACTCATTCTTTTCTTGTGAAAGTTTCACAAGAAGGTGAGTGTCATTTCCTTATTTTCTTGTTTTCACAGCAACAGTATGTGTACATGCAGTTGGATTCATGTAGTATAAGGTTGATATGCTGTACATATGTCTTTATTCACTGCTGGATGTATGTCCATCACATGCATGTTTCTTTTTCTTCCTTTGTGGCTTTTGTCAATAATACAATTTTAAAACAGGGTCATAAAATACTATAATAATAAATATATCATTTCCTATGAATTGTGTATTATCAAGTGTGTGAAGGGAATTTTATTAATGCATTTAATCACATACATGTATGCATATTCACTTAAAATTTTGTTAAAAATGGCTAGGAGAGAATTCTGCTTTTAAAAATTTTTCTGATACATGATTTTATGATGTTTAGCAAATTTGAGTCCTAAATTGATCATAGGCGTAATTAGATTTGTACTTCATAGCATCAATCCAAGCTATTAAGAAATTGCTATAATTTTATTTACTAGTTCTATAACTGTTTAGGAACATATATTCAGCCCCTTGATTGCTATAGCAGCACATTATCCCACCCTCATATTCCAAGCACTGTCTCTAGCTAAAAAGCTTGTTGAAGAACATGAAAGTAAAAGATTTCTTCAAGATGATTTATTGCCGAGGTAATGAATAAATATTTACATGTGCATGGTTATTGTTGAAATTTTAAAATTATTACAGAAATTAGAAGAGGTTGTCACTGTGTCAGGAAATCAACTTAAAAAGACAATCCTTTTGATGCAACTGCATGTACTGTGTGCATGATAAGTTTATTTTCAAGTAGCTAGAAATAGCAATTTTACTCACCTTAAAGGTCAATAGATTAGCAGTGAACTATCGGTAATGCCATTATTATTGCAGCAATATTGCGTTATGTTTGATCACTTATTTTTTCAAATTGCAAAATTTAAAATTTACAAATATCGTAACTCCTTACAATCATAGGAAGTAGACTTTTAGGCAGGAAAAATTAACATTGTTGGGCTCTAGATTGATTTATTGTAGTATTTTATTTTTGTGCATTAGCTAGGCTGACAAGAAAAAAACGGCCAGCTGTAAGGTACTTTTAAAATTATTTTACTATTAGAATTTCTCTCTGTTCCTTATTATTCGATGAATTTTAATTAGTCTGTGATCTATGAATGTTAAATAAAGTATACAGACGTGAACCAAAATTTCACAAAAACACTTGCCAGTCCCACGTGGTTTCAGTTTCCTCCGCCTTCTTCTAAAGTTCTAAACCTTCACCTGTTCCTCAATTCTCTCGCTCTAGTGCAGAAGGTAAGACAAGGCCTTCACTTAGTTCCTGGACGTTTTTTGGCTCGTCACGTGCTTTGACTTTTTGGTCTCTTTGTCTTTCTATTTTAGATTTTCCCGTGCTCTGTTGTTCTAGCCTCGCTACTGTTGTTCATTTGCTGGGAGAACTATCAAGCTATTGCACAATGGATTTGTGAAGCAGGGTCTGTTGCAATGGTATGATAATGAGTAATTAATCGGAGGTGTGCTTTTAATGTCATATTTGCATAATAATAATGGATTTGGGATTTTTAACATTCAAGGGGGTTGTCTACTGTTTTTATCCTGTTTTTAACTTTTTGGCTTCATTAATTCTACAATGTACATGTAATGTTTATTTCTTTATCCAGTCTTTTGACAGCAGACATTAGGGCTGGCTGAAGAAAGAATCCGAAGCCTAAAAATCACCACCGCACCTCTGCTTGTTTATGGTTTATACTGTCAATCTAGTTCAGATAAACTAGTGGTTTAGGTAGACAATCATTAACACCACTTTAACAAATCTTCATGAAGGGATTGGGGATTTATGTTTACTGCTAACAGTGCAAAGGGTTTGTAGGCTAGAGCCTCCCTTACCTAATTTCTTTTAAGTCAACTTAGCTGTAATGTACATGTAGCATGTTTTACTAAAATGTTTTATTTTCCATGGGCAGTAAGTTGCAGAAATTGACTTCATATTACATGTTGTATTGATGTTGTTATGCATTATGCAATGTATACAGTTTAAGCTTGTTTTTTACTGAAGGGTTTCATTTTTAATCATCTTTTAAATATGTTAATTAAAAAAATACATGTACCTTGGGCTAGATTCTGTTGGATTTTAGGACCTGTATGATCTACGTGTACCATAAATTCATAATAATATTAATCTTGGTGATTGGCAGTTTTTTGAAGAAATCACTGTTATGAATTTTGCCCTCTGAAAAACTTGCCATGATTACATTTACATTATATTAATCAATATCACCTATCAGGCTATCACCTTATTAAGTATCTTTTTTTATTTGTACCTAAATTATTATTAATTTTGTTTCTAGTATTTTTGATTGCACTGATTGTTTTCCCCATTGCTTCACTGGTGGATCCATTCCTTTGTTTGGTCACATGACAGTCACATGCTCTTCCTCACATAACAACAATAGCAATAGTTTATTCTTAATATTCAGGCATCATTATACAATATAATCAGCTCTACCGGCAACAGTAAGTATTTAACATGCAAATTAAATGTTTATTGTTATTTTTGTTGTTATTGTTATTATTATTATTATTATTATTATTATTATTATTATTATTATTATTATTATTATTATTATTATTATTATTATTATTATTATAATTAGGTATATTGTTGGAGTATTGTTGTGAGTTTCTTCATTTCATTGTTACCTACATCTCTCGCTTGTCTTTAATGACGCACACTGCAACACTTGATGGCATCATCACTAACCTGACCAATACAATCCAGTCGTTAGAGTCGTGTGACCAATTGAACGAAGATGGGATACATGTATTATTACATGTTTATTGGATGATGATATCACTACTATGCATAGCAGTTACTATCCTTGGTTAGTATCATAAGTTCGTGTGTTCTAGGATCAATATTGTATCATGTGCTGTTAATCAATGCCTTTCTTTAGCTTGGTGTATGCATGTGCTTTGTTGTTTAGTTAATTCCAATTAATGCCTTTCTTCAAATGTCACCTTGTCTTCAATAGGATCCTTTGTCCTATACATAATAGCATGTACTTGTAGCTACATTGTATGTTGTAGTTGCACTTGATATTTATATTTCTTTTTTTGTTCTTTTCTGTCGGTGATAAATATGTCTCCATGTTCAAGGAAGAAT